CCCGCAGCTGAAGCCATTTCACGCCTCGCTGATCCTTTTCCTCGGACAAGCCTGGGATGCAGTGACGGACCCCGCCATCGGCTTCCTGGTCAGTAGGAGCCCCAGGAGGAAGTTTGGCAAGCTGATCCCATGGTGAATGAGGCAGGGACCAGCTGGGTTCAGTCTCCTTTGGTACTGCAACTGCTTAGGGGCTGGACGCATTGCGCTGTGAGCTTCAGATGGGCATAAAAAAAGGGTTGCATATTTCACATGACTTTTGGGAATATCCCTTGTGCTTCAGCACTGGCTTCACAGTTCCTTTAAGGGTCCTAAACACCCATGGCTGCTGGGGCCTGAGACTTGGTGGATCTCAAGCATTAGATGAGCAGGTCTGGCTTGGGTACAGCTCTGGTGCTGGCTATGCGTGCTCTTTCCCCCTTGCTTTGCCCAGAGCTGGCTCCCTTCTGCCTGCCTTTGCCTTGTGGCTTCAGCTGGACTGTGGTTTTGCAATGGGGAGCGGAGGCCGGTGCGAGCAGCCCCAGCTGGCAGGAGGGCTCATGTCTGATGGGCACCACGTCTCCCTGCAGGATCGCCTTCTCCACGCCCTTTGGAGTCACCTTCTACTGCATGCTGTGGTTTGTGCCCTTTGACACCATCTCTGTCTGGCAGAAGTGCCTCTGGTACCTGGTCATGTACTGCTGCTTCCAGGCTTGCAAGAGTGTAAGGAAGGCGGTGCTGGGTTGTGCGCTGTAGCGGGTTGGGCTGGGTTGTGTGCCCCAGTGATTCCTAGATGTTTGGGACCAGTGGACCCCTCTCAAGCTTTGGTATCTCATGGGCAGCCGTCACTTCAACCCACCCACTCAGGTCCCGCTGCCTGCCAGCAGTCCACAGACCCCGCTGTGGGGTCCACTGGGCTTTGCCCAGTGCCCTTTGGTGACCAAAGACCCCGTTGTAGAGGGAGAGGGTCCAGTGTGGCCAGGAAGGACAGCTATCTGCTCTTGGGGGGCACGGGGAACCGATAGAGGCAGACAGTCAAGGAAGTGACTGCAATGCTCTGGGGTGGAGGTATCTGACCTGTTTTCTCCCCAGTGCTATCACGTGCCCTACTCCTCGCTCACCATGTTCCTGGGAGGCAGTCAGAGAGACCGGGACTCGGCCACTGCCTACCGTAAGTGTCTGCACCCTATGGCCACGAAGCCTCGTGAGCTCCCTTACTGCGTCCCAGGGGCCGGCCAGGGCGGTCTCCTTGTGCTCCGGTGTTGCAATAGCCTGATGTCCAGGCTGAATGTGTCTCAGTGTGTCATGAAGTATGCTTGTATATAAGTATAGCCCTTGCTTGGCATCCCCATGCTTTTGCAGTGAGACAGCACCTGGGCTGTGCAGCATATAGGGAACGCCCTGGGAGCCTGGACGTCGATCCCGGGGTGCCTGTTGTTCCGTTTTGGGTCTGATCCACAGCTAAATCAACGCCTTGCTGCACCATGTGTGGCTGTTGTGAGCAGACCCCAGCTTTGGGGCTCTTGCTGAATGCACACGTGGACTCACCTGGGATAAGTTGGTCCTTTGCAGGTGGGGGAAAGATTAGAGGGGTGGTCCCAGCTCCAAACCTCCAGCCTTTTCTCCTGGAGCTCAGGGGGAACATCCCAGAGTAGGTAGCAATAGCAGGCCTCTTTTCCCCTCTGGCAATAGCCGTGAAAGGGCACTCACGTGTTCGCACACACAAAGCCAGTGCATCGCAGTGCAAGGCACAGACCAGCTGCCCAGTCCCTGGAGATCTGCCTCAGGCCGGGGCGGTCAGGCCAGCTGACCCCTCTGCTGTGTGGGCTGTTGGCAGGAATGGGGGTGGAGGTGTTCAGCACGCTGGTCGGCTCGGGCATCCAGGGGCAGATCGTGGGCAGCTACCATGCCAGCATGACCCAGATCTGTACGGCGTTGAACCGGACTCTGCAGAACCGCACCTCTGCGGGCCTCACCGACACGCTGGAAAACACGGTAAGGGCCTGGCCACCGGCCCACACTGCCTCTCGCCTGCCCTCCCAGCCCCTTGGCCCGGGCTGAGCTGACTGCACCGGCTTCTGTTTTCCAGCGCAGGGCATATACAATTGCCTCCGTGGCGCTGAGCTCGCTCTATGTCCTGTCCTGCCTGGTCCTCGTGTTTGGAGTGAAGGAGCAGCCTGGTAAGGTGGCTGCTGCCCCTGGCTGGAGCTTGGATGGTGCTGGGTAGCGGTGGAGCCCAGGGTCTCCTGGTTGGCAGGCAGGGCATGTGGCTGGCGCTGCATCCTGGGCTGTGGTGATGGTGTTTTGCTCCCCAGGTAGCCTCCTTTGCTACCCAGGTCAGTTCCTGGGAGGCGTCTCACCCCCATCCTGCTGGCCGCTGCTTGCGCAGAGGGTGCAGAGAAGATAGGGGTGGAGGTTCATCTCTATCTGGACACTCGTCCTACCTAGCAGCACAGAGGAGCTCCCATCTCTGTTTCAATGTGCGCTTCCATGGGCAGGCCTGCCAGCTGCTCCTGATGGCTCTGCTCTCCGTCCCCTCCCTGCAGGGCCCCTGAGTCCCCTGGAGAAATCAAAGCTGCCCTTCTTCAGGAGCCTGAGGGTCATCCTGGCACACCGGTCCTACACCCACCTGCTCTGTGCCTTCCTCTTGGCCTCCCTGGCCTTCCAGGTACCAGGGCAAGGGGAGAGGCAGCAGGGTGGTATCGGGCAGAGCCGGGTGGAACCATCTAATTAAGTGGTGTGACAAGGCCCCTGTGTCCAGGGGTGTGAAATGCTTCAGCTCTGGAGGGAGGGGAGAGGAGCAGCCTACAGGAGCTCTCCCCTCCAGCGGCATGGTATTCAGGGGCTGGATACCCTGCTCCTCAGCTCCGCAGCCTGGAAGAGACGTGGTGCAGAGCCCTCGGCTCCAGGAAGCTGCTTGCAATCCAGTGTGGGCCTGCAGGTTCCCAGTGCAGCTGTGCACAGTTTGGGATTCCCACGTGAACCCGTGTCCATGCTCCCTTCCAGGTTACCCAGGGGATCTTCGCCTTCTACTGCACGCATGCCGGCGGGATGGCCGGGAGGTTCCAGCACTTGGTGCTCATCATGCTGGTAGGTCCGTCTGCCCCTCGCCCCAATCCTGCTCCTCCAAGCCACTGAGCCCCCCTTTGTGTGTGTCTCCCCCAGGTCACAGCTTCCCTCTCCATCCCCGTGTGGCAGTGCGTGCTGGTGCGGTTTGGGAAGAAGACGACAGTGCTCGTGGGGCTGTCGGTAGGTCCCCAAGGCTGCCGTGCCCACAAAGCTAGGATAGCTGTGCGTGCCTCATCGCCCATGCGACTTCCAGCTGAGCTCCCCGGTGCAAAGCATGATGTCCTGCTCCCCAGTGCAGCCGCCAGCCTGTGGTGGCTCAGCTGGCACCGGCACCCTGGAGAGCTGTCTGCGAGCACGCGGTGCCTCCTCCTCATTGCAGCCACACAGGGCATCGAGGGTGCGAGTGGGAGTGGTGGGAGGCTTTCCTGCCAGCCCTCGCTGCTCTGGACAGCCAGCCTGGTGCAGAAGGGCTAGGAAACAATCCTAGTCTTGGTCGTATAGTCTCAGCAGCATCCAGCACAACTAGTGGTACATCCACTCTCCTCCCACCCAGTTTGCAAACCACGGTGTGGCATGGCTCCATTTATTGGGTGTCCTTGATGTCCAGAGTGAATGAGCTGATGCCCACAGCTGATTCCTTTACATTTCCTCAGGGCCTTCCACCCCCAGCCTGTATAGGGATATAGATCAAGGGCCAGCTGTGTTATGTCCCCTGCACAGGGGGTTCAGGCTCTTAGGCTCCAAGAGCCGTCTGGTGTCGAAGTCACCTCGGGGCCAGGTGGGAGCTTGGCCCTGCCCCAGCAAGCGCTGTGGAAAGCCTCAGCTTGCTGGTGGGTACTGATCGGTTTGAGCTGGACTCGAGGGGTCAGATTGGACATGGTATTTAGGTGCCTAAAGATGCAGCCGGGCCCCTGGTGAGCTCAGATAGGCTGGAACTGGTCGTTGCCTGGCTCGGGTCGTGATGGCTGTTAAATGCCTAAGTCACTCAGGCCCTCTTGGAAAACCTGTTCTCTGCAGCTTTAGAGGCTCAGATACCTTGGTAAGGCCAGTTCTAGGTGCCTGACCCCAGATCGTGCCACGAATCAGTGGCAGAACCCAGATTAGTACCCAGGACTCCAGGTTCCTGTTTCAGCCTCTGTCCCACCCATGACGGCACCTTCCTGAAGTCCCGTGGCGTGGGGACGGGGTGCCTGGGGCACTCGGGGTGTATCATGATGAATGCACCATGGCTGCTGTCATGGACTGACCTCTGTCTGTGTGCCCAGCCCTCCACAAAGCCCCGGGAAAGACGCAGGCCCTGCCCCACGGCTCTTCCATGTATGTGATGCACCAGATCCTCCAGGGATGGTCTGTCATCGAGGTGACGGTGCAGGGGAGTGGTTGCCCTAGCAGCCTCTTGGTGTGGGCGTGCTGCAGGCAGGTCCGGGGGAGAAGGGTGCAGGGAACGCTGCAACAGGAATGGAGCAGGGGGAAGGAGCTCCTTACACCTGATGAGCCAGACGGGCACAAGAGCGTTTCTCTCTTGCCTCCCTCTGCGCCCCAGATTGTCATTCCTGCCCTCATCGTTATCACCCAAGTGACGCACAACTTCCCCGTCTTTGTCGTTATGGTGATCATGGCGGGATGCAGCCTGGCTGTCCTCTACCTGTTACCCTGGTGAGTGGCAGAGACCTGCAGGCCAGGGACGACTTGCTCCTGGATGGCTAAAGGGTTGGGAGGAGAAACGCTATCATAAGAACATGAGGGTGGGAAGGGAGCTCAGGAGGTCACATCCAGTCCATCCCCCTGCTCCAAGCAGGACCAGCCCCAACTACATCATCCCAGCCAAGGCTTTGTCTCCCTGGGTATTCAAAACCTCTAAGGATGGAGACTCCACCACCTCTCTGGGCACCTCTTCCAGTGCTTCACTCTCCTAGTGAGAAAGTTTTTCCTAATATCCAACCTAAACTTCCCTTGCTGCAACGTGAGCCCATTGCTGCTTGTCCTGTCGTCTGCCCCCACTGAGAACAGCCCAGCTTCATCCTCTTTGCAACCCCCCTGCAGGGAGTTAAGGGCTGGAGAACTGTGCGCTAGGAAAACGTCACTGAGCAAGGCCTGGCGTGTTCGTCTGCAGAGCTAAATAATGCAAGAAGTTGGCAGCAGGCAGGAGCGGGGTTTGAAACGGCAGCGTCTGGTACTGCCTTTCAGATGGGGAATTGCTGCTGGCTTTCAGCTGGGGAACTGTGCAGCCCTGGTGTCGGTTCTGTCGAGTGCAGATGGTGCCGGCGCAGCACATTTATACCCACGCCAGCGGCCTTCCTGCCGGTGTCTGTGGAGCAGACGCCGCGTCGAGCCCTGCACCGCGCTGTCACTGCCTGGGGTGCAGCTGCTTTTTCCAGAGCCAGCACTAACTAACTCCCAGCCTGGGGGTCATTTGGTTGCAGCTGTGGTCACTGTCTCCCTGGGGTAACCCTTGCTCCCTGCCAACAGGACATTATTTTTGGATATTATTATGGGATTCCTCACCGCCTAGTGGCAAAGGTCTGCTATAGCAGGCAGATCATCCCTCCGCTCCGGCGTACAAAGCCCGTGCATTACACTGGTGTTAACTCGTCATGTGCGGGCACCGAGAGCAGCTGCTGCTCCGTGCTAGACTCCTTCCCTTATGCAAACTGCTGAGCTTAGGGATGACTCTTCCTCTTCCCAAAATAGCACCTGGGGTTCCTTTCCTACCCTCAGATGCAAAGGCGTGCATATATTTGCATGCTAATGGTTACATACGTGTTAACTTCATGCATAAATTCAGCTTGTGAGCCTGCGTGCAGACTTGAAAGGCATGGTCCCGAGAGAGTTTTCATTCCCCTGAGAGCCCAAAGCTTTGCCCAGGGCTGGAGGCTGGTAGTGGCAGAAGTCGAGCTGCTTTGCCTCCTTAACGAGCTGCTCATCCCCAGGTCCATGCTGCCGGATGCAGTGGATGATTTCAGGCTGAAGAACCCCAACTGCTTGAACCTGGAAGCTTTTTTCTACTCCTTCTATGTTTTCTTCAACAAGTTTGCTGGTGGCCTTGCGCTGGGGATCTCCACCATGAGCTTACAGTAGGCCTCAGAGTCTGCTTTCTCTTAAAGATTCGTGTTAGTGGGTAAACTTCACGTTGCCGCCTTCTCTTTGGCCCCTGTCAGGAGAAGCTGGAATTGGAGTCACTGGGAGTGTCCCAGAGCCATTGCTTCTCCTGTTTCCTGCTGGGCACAGCTGAGGGGAATAGCTGGGCATGCCACCAAGCCATTCCCTAGAGCGCTTGCAGAGAAGAGGGCCTGGGAAGGATGTCTCTGCTTGCTCCTTCACTGCTCCTTTCCATGACTCCCTGGGTTTGTAGAAGGTGTGAGCTGCTTCATTGTCAGAGCTCCCACCACACCTACCCTTTAGGGTGTCCTCTTGCCAGGGCCCGAACCACCCCCGGACCTCACAGGCGAAAGCAGACACTCCTCAAGTGCTCTTCCTCAGTTTTGCAGGTTACAAGGCTGGTGACTGCACGCACAACCCGTCTGTCATCCTCACCTTGAAAATCCTCATGGCTCCGGTCCCCATCATCTTGCTGCTGGCTTCCATGGTCACCTTCTACTTCTACCCCATCAACGAGGAAAGGAGGCGGCAGATGAAGGTGGAGATGGAGGCATTCGAGTAAGTGCGGTGGGATTCGTGGGCCTTGGGGAACTCTGGTCCAGGCCTTTTGCTCTGGAAGTGGCTGAGGGACTGTGCAGGCATCTCTTCTGCCAAGGAGGTGATGAGCTGGGAGGAATTCCCAGCAGGAGCATCGGGAGAAAAATCCATAGCAGAGCTTCGTTTGGGTTTTGACCCATGTAACATAGCAACTGAGCAGCAAAGGCTTGACACTCCTCCTACCTGCGAGAGGCTGAGACTGGAGCTGCTGCAAGATCCCCCATTGCCAGTTCTCCTACAGGGCGTTTGCAATGACTGCCGGGGGCTAGAGGATTCCTTTAGTAGATTATCCAAATGCACTTTGGGTTTTTAAAGCACTTTAGACGGTGCTGGGCTGCCTCAGAGCATCATTTTGGGGCTCCTCGGGGCTTGAGAAGGAAGATGACTTGGGAAACACGAGGGGGTCTGATATCACTGGCCAAGCCAGGGGGCTCTCCTAACCTCTGTCCTCTGCCTGGGGACACAGCTCAAGTCAGCGGTCCCCATCTGCCAGCAGGCAGGGCTGCAAGGGGACAGGCAGATGTGGCTCCTGGAGTCTGTCTGATCCAGGTGATTGTCACCCTGCCTCGGCTATGGGGGAGGAGAGGAGAGTTTGCTCACAAATTCCCTGTCCAGTCTGGGACACGGCGTGCTTTCTCCTCCCTCTCCTTGCCCTCCAGTGCAAACTTGAAGAGGAATTCTGTGTTAATTTATACTCTTCCTACCAGGCAAGGCCGGGGGGAGAATGCAAACTCCGGGTAAAACAAACACGGACCTTGCAGAGTTTCCTTGGAAAGCTCTCTCTCTCTCGCCGCGCGCTGCCAGGATGCACCAGTCTGATCTGATGGCTTTGCTTCCTGTTGTTCCCGATTTCTGCATCGCAAAGCATTGCTCTCTGCTCGCTGCCTTTCTCAACTCCCCAGGGCTGCTGCGGGGAGCATCCCTGGCCTTGAAGAACGGGGTTTGGCATGTTGATCTTGAGCCAGCTCCTGCCTTCTCTTTGTGCAAGGAAAGATCCCGGCGCTCATTCGCCACAGCTGATTGGGAAGGATGGCGAGGAAGATTGGACCCAGGCTCTGCCAAGAGCACTCTCAGAAAACACACCGAGGAGGGGAGCTGGGCAGCAGAGGTTCAGGCATATTTTGGGGAGGAAAGTGTCAGCAATCTGTCATCTGGGTGGTGACAATCAGGACCCCGAGCCCCAGGACTAGGGGGAATGCTGCTGTTTCAGGAAGAGCGCTGTATCCATGTGGAGACGTGGAGCTGCCTCTGACCCCATCCGGTGATCAGCTAAAGCCTCCTTCACTGCTTACTATGTATATAGACAGGATATTCTGGTCACCACCTGGTCTGGAGCAGCTCCCCTGCTTTCCCAGAAGGCCTGCCCCGAACTTCCCCCATATCTAAAGACTTAGAATTTGTCAGTGTATTTTCAGGTGTACAAGATGTGTCGGTGTGCAAGGGGCACCCTTCAAAAAAGGGTAAAATGGTGCCTCTCTGACACCCCCTGTATTGTCAGTGGTGGTGAGGCAGGGGCTGTTATACATGCCCCATATCCTGATTTTTTGCGCCCCCCCAAACCTGACTTCTCTCACCAGTGTTCCCAGGCTCCTCTCCAATGTACTGGGAGGTAGGGTGGGAGCTTCAGAAGCTGCCCTTCCCTGCAGCTTTGGTGCATCAGAAACACCCAGCTTTAGGAGCTTCTCTTTGGGGGAGAAAAACTGCATCTTATACATGGGAAAAGCCTGTTTTCTACTAAGGTGAGGCTTAGCCATGTAGAAGAGATGCATGTATCCAAAATAAGAAATCTGCATAGGTGTCTAGATGCCGTACTATCCAATGCTGACAGCAGTTCCCTGCCTTGGTTTTGCTGGGTGCGTGAATTATTGGCTAGAGATGAATTTTGCCTCGGAAGAGGCTGCAGCAATGGACTGACTTGCCTGTGATCATGCTCTCTTAGGAGCTTATTACAAGGTTTGCCCTGTCTGCCATCTCTGAAAGGGATGGGGGGTTTTGGGGGGGGGGACACGTCAAATGCATTCTGTGGAGAGGGCTGAATGAATGCTAAAGACAGTCCCTAGGTCAAAGCTGCACAAGTGGGACCTTTAAAGCTCACCAGAGATCTCCCACTGTGACAACAAGATGAGGAGCATAAAGCCGCAGAGCAGGATGTGACCACAGCATAACAGCTAAACTAGGAGGCAGGAAAACTGAAGTGCATGTGGCATTGCACGGGAGGGGAAGCAGGTTTGGCCCGGGCTATTTCTGACCTCAGTTTAGCTTTGCAGCCCCCCGTCTACACACACACTGGCCATATTTTTGCAGATAGTGCTCCTACTGCATTTGGAAATCTGGCTCTTAAAGTGGCGTCGTGAGGCTTAAGCGTTAGCAGCCTTTTATATGAGCCCTCTTGGAGCTGGTTGCAGGTAGACAAACTCGCTATCTGCTGCACCCCGGACAGATTTGGACTAGCTTATGCACAAGGAAAAGATGCTTCTTTCCTATTTTTTTTTGTCAGCTGTGAAGAAAAATAAGTGCCTTGCGAGGCCCTGCCTTGCCCTGAGGGGGTCAGGTACAGGGACCCCTTTGCTTAGGACATGTTTCTTTGCTTGTGCACAGCATTTTCTGCACGCTTTTCAGGGAAGGAAGTGCCAAGAAAAGCAGAATGATTGTTGCTTCCCTTCTGGCTCCATGTAAGCAGCGGCTGTGTCCGAACGCACGCGCAATCACTGTCTCTCGCTAGCTGGGCTGGATGTCACTAATATGGCACGGCACCGAGCTTCCCGCAGAGGGGTGTGATTGGAGATGGGCACTTTCCTAGGTTTGATACGTCCCCACTGTATTTGCTGTTGAGAATCCTGCCGTGTGCTATTATGAGCTATTAAAGCAGCATGCGTGCTGATGATGTTTTCCTCCTGGAGTTTCTTGTTATGCAAGCCGGGGCAGGTGCTCCATTCCCAGCGCTCTTTGCAGGTGAGCTGTTTTGGCAGGATGCTGCTGCGGGCAACTGTCCCAGTAGCATCCGTTTGCTTTGCAGGCTGGAGACCTTCCCCACAGACTGACACTGCAATCTGGGCAGAAACCTGTCCTGTCCCCTTGCTCCGGTGCTTCCCAGCCTGACCGCTCAGCCTTCCAGATCCTTGCTCGCCCTTGCTGTGCTCCTTTCTCTAAAAAAGGTGGGACCGAAGAGATCTGGCGGTCGTGGGGCTGGCACTTGCAGGTATGCAGACCCACAGTAACGAGAGAGCACCCACTCCCAACGGGATTTGATCGGCGTGACTTCTAAGCCTTCCTGCTCCAACATAACGGATTTGGTTTCTGCAGTCTTACCTTATGGCGCACATGTGGCTTTGAGTATATGCAGGCAGGGTTTCCACTATAGGACTAATATCCCCCCCCCCCCCTTTTTTTTTGTCTGAGCTTTATGTCTAGTAACAAATATAGGCTTGTGGTGGAACAGATGTACCCCCCTATATTTCGGTAGGGAAGGAGTTAATGTAGTGGTGTATATGTGATGCAGTCCAGCTGGTCTGAGCGCAGCAGCAGGTATTAAGAGACTTGTCTAGCAGCTGGGACGTGCTTTATGGGGGAGGGAGGATGGCTTCCCCGAGTGCACGATGGAGAGATGTGAATAGGGGAAGCTACTGGGGCTAGGAATAGGAAAGATCCCTTAATTGGAGCTCAGACCCTGCAGAGGGGGAGCGTGCTAGAGAGAGCCATTTTCCTGGGGTGAACCGTCAGGCTGAAATGTTGTATTTCCAAGCAATTATTCACATTGCTTGCAAGCCAAGGATCTTTGGGTAGAGGCTGTAAGCACCTTCGCTGCATCCCACTGGGTCGGATGGGGCTCGGGGCCGGTGCGGTGCTGTGAGCTGGGTCTGGTTACCTGCAGAGCTGGCTGGACCCGGACACTTAATTTCCGCCACTACACCGCGGTGAGAACGGGGCGAGCTGCTGCCATTTTAGTGTTGTGCTGCATAGATCTCCGCCGGGCAACTTAACATACATATGACAATATCTCTGGTGCCGGGTGATGGCTGTACTGAATGGGATGCCTCCGTTGATTAGCCGACACCCGGGCAAATTTCTCATTGCAATTGAAATAGCTTAATGCTAATTCCTCTAGCACTTCTCTGCACGGGGGAGGAAGAGCTGTCCCGCAGTTCAGGGCCAGGAGTTAGGTCTCGGGGATCTTATTTCAGACGACTGGTTTCTATTGATGGTGCTAGCGCATGCTACCTGTGGGGTCTGCCTGTGGCCTGGTTCCCCCCCCAGCTGAAGATGAAGACGGTAAGACGTGCCTGTCATGCAAGGGTGTCCGCAGTTAAAATGACTAATGGTGGTGAGTACTCGTACACGAAGCATTTCCATGATGCTTATCACTAAGGTGCGTGTGGCACCTGGAGGACTAATCACTAAGGGGATAAGCATCACGGCAATGCATCTAGAGGCGTGCTCCCCCTATCACAGCTATAAGCATCTAGCACGATTGTGGAGCTTGCACGTGGCGGAGCTTGCGCACCGAAGAAGTGCAATTACAGCGACTTGGCGTTGCAGCCCTCCCATCTGTTATCTCAGACATCTCCTTTCCACGACACCTGTTGGAAATATTTCCTCTTAGCACTTCTCGCTGCTTGCCCGGAGCTCGTCAGAGCTCAAATCCAGCACGTTTGAACTCAAATCCATCTACTTCACGTCAGGAAAGGATAAGACTTCTTCAAGGCACCGTTTCAGCCTGGAAAGCCTACAAGATTTCGGGTTCGGAAGGAGCGCTCGCTCGTGTTACGGAAAGGAAGTCCTTCCTGTAGCACCGAGGGGGTGGCCGTCGTAGAGGGCAGTCCGGCTGTCCTCTATTGATACCAAACCGGACGCCTTTATGTCCTCTGACAAATAGAGGGCGTGAAGCCGTCCAGTTTCGTCCTCGGTCCTCTGTTGAGATGAAACCGGACACCTTTATGTCCTCTGCGTTCAGCAATAGAGGACACGAAGGCGCCCGGTCTCGTCTCAAGAGAGGACAAAGGACAACCGGACCGTCCCTACGCGCCAGACGTTACGGGAACGTGGCGCTGTTTAACGCCGGGCCACGCGTCTTCCATTAACGGGGATGTGGGGTGAAGAACGACGACGCGTCTCCGCCAGCGACCAGAAGCAACCGCGCTCCATTTAGGAGCAGAGGAAGCCACGAAACGCACCGGGCGCGGGTGCAAAAGCCACGTGGTCTTTGCTCCAGCTCTTGGCGCGCGGCGCACGTGTGCACGCGCGCCTCCCTGCCGCGCGCTAAGGGCCGGGTCTCCATGGGACCGCGCCCCCGCCCCCCTCCGCCAAGATGGCCGCCCTCGGGCCGAGCCCAGCCGGGAGGCAAGATGG